CCCATGTGAATAATTTGTTCTGGTTGTGCACTGTCAATCTTGTTATTGCTTGAATGATTTGGTCTGGTACGCTTTTCACGTCGTCTGCGTGTCACATTTTTAGCATTACGATCTGATGAGCAAAGTTGTAAATATTGATGACATCCCGGCTCAATGCCTCGGTGAAACCGGTCCATTAAGCAACAGACCTCCCTCCGAACAGGAATTGAAGGATTCCGTCGCCCTCGAGGAGACGCTTGCGCAAATGAACATATTTGAAACACAAGAAGAGATTCATCAAAGACGCGAAGCTTTAATAAAACTTCAGGAAATCTCAAATCATTGGATTTATAAAAAAGCCTTAGAACAAAATCTCCCCGAACATAATGCAAGTTCGACAACGGGAAAAATCTTTACTTTTGGTTCATACCGATTGGGTGTTAACTTTATTGGTGCTGATATTGATGCCTTGCTGGTCGTTCCGCGATTTATCACCAGGGAGGAGTTTTTCTCTGACTTCCAAGCGGTACTTGCTGCGGAAGAATCCGTTGAAGATTTACAGGCTGTACAAGATGCATACGTGCCACTTTTGAAGATGAAGTTAATGGGTGTCGAGATTGACTTGCTGTTCGCTCAAGTGGATCTTATGTCAGTGCGAAGTGACTTTAACCTCTCTGATAATTCGGAACAGTTGCTCCGTAATATGGACGAAAGGGACGTTCGCAGCGTTAATGGAGTTCGTGTTACAGAGGATATGCTGAATCTTGTGTACCCAAAGGATGCTTTTAAAACGGCACTAAAGGTTTGGTCGGTGCTTATCTTTCTTACTTATGTATTAGGTTATTCGACTTTGGGCCAAAAGAAAGAACATCTACTCTAACGCTATCGGTTTTCTTGGAGGCGTCAGTTGGGCTATATTAACTTGTCGGATATGTCAACTTTATCCGTTCGCTCCTCCCTCCACCATTGTTCATCTCTTTTTCATCATCTACAGTCAGTGGCCATGGCCAAAGCCAGTTCGACTACGTGAATCAGAGTACATTGCCTCCTTGAATTTGCCTGTGTGGGATCCAAGAGTACGTTATTTCATCACCTTAGAAGAGTGTTTATTTTGGTTATTTCTGTTTTTTTATCCCTGTAGCACAATCCCACGGACCAATATCACCTTATGCCAATTCTAACGCCGAGTTACCCATCCCAGAATTCCACGTACAATGTTCAAAGAAGTAACCGTATCATCATCGATAGGGAAATCAAGCATGGTGTGTCGAGTTTTCTAAAATCTGGTCGCTATTATCGGTTACTATTAATTTTGTCCATGTCGTCTTTTGGTTGTCCGTGTAGCTTTTATTGTGCTCTCATGGTAGATTGACTTGTACATGTCTTTGCGCCATTCGGAATCGCATAATCGCAGCTTATGCATCGATATTCTGCTATGAGTTGTTGCTTAAAATTCTCTGATTTTGTTGGATTGCTCGGCGTTCTATTGGTCCCACACCTGCCTTAGGGCCTCTGTTTAACAGACTGTTCTAGGAGGGTTTAGTTTGTTAACCTTTTAAACACCTCTTAGGTCTCAGCGTGGTGAAGGAAATACTTCTTCAGAAGCGTCCTTGGTCCGATCTCTTTGAGCCGGCCTTCTTTTTCACCTACCGGCACTACGTGGTTGTCATCGTGACTGGCGAGGAGAAGCGACCTTTCAAGGAGCGCTGTGGCTTGGTGGAATCTCGATTACGCATATTAGTGAGCAGTGCGGAGAACAATCGCTACGTAAAGCTGGCACACGTTAACTGCCACTCCTACGGCAAAGGTCCCCTTGACGGGGATGCACCTTTCGTTAAAAAGTGGTTTATCGGCATGGAATTTGATCGAAATCCTACCTCCTCTACCTCGCTTACAAATCATTCGTCCACCGCTACAGCGGCGGCTGCAGCGTCAACCACATCTCAATCCACCGATTCCTCAACTCCGCCTGCGAAGCTCAATATTGACTTAAGCGATGTTATAAATTCCTTTGAGGTTGCAATCGATCGGGGAATGTCAGCTGATGCCGCAACTACAACGGTAACAGTGAAATATGCCAAAAGGTGGGTACCGGTCGGCTTTTCGCCAAATGATTCTCATGAATTTGGATGTCTATTTTTTCGTCAAAATTCAAACGATGGCATATTTTTATGCATTTAATGATCAATGAGTGCTGGTGTATTATAGGTCCCATCTCTCTCAACTTCTATCAGCCGAGGATATGGAAAGTATTAGGAAACAGTCAGCTGCACATGCAGTTGCTAATCATGGCATAACACGCCACGGTTCAAATCTCAGTCAAATGTCTTCTAATTCCCCTCGAAACTCCGATTCTCCAAGCTACACTGCGCCCTCTCCTCAAGTGTCCGGCACCGTTAGTACATCCTCTCCTCGCTCATCTTCAGCCTCGGACCTCAATGCCAAAGAGAAGGTTGATTCCGTAAGTTACATTTTCGGTATTTTCACTTTTAATGCACCCTTCTGTTCTCCACTTGTTCATGTGCACTAGATATTATTGAAAATATTCTTTTTGTGATTTACTTTTAGGCGAGATCTCATGGTGTTCAACCTGCCAAAAAACGCCGATTCTCGGAAGACAACTCGTCGTCTGCCTCCAACGGACAATCAAAAGTGGCCATTGGTGCAGGCAACGGTGGTAATGCGGAAGAAAGTGCTAAAAAGAATGTGGAAGGCGATGACGTTGTCACAATTCCCATGCCGGCTAAACGCAGCTGTCCCCCTCCCCCTGGCATTAATGGCTCTACTCCCAATACCTCCCCATCACAAACCCAGCTCTCCACGCTTTATAGGGGGGCATCGTGACTCGGCTCAGAAGTTTGCGCTGACCTTAGATACTCTGTACATTATTTGTTCCCTCTCGGTATGCTCTTATGCTAGTGTATTACCACGCCTACCTTGTTTTCTAAGGTCGGACCTCTGAGGTTAACTGTATTTTGGTGAAGCCTACAAGATACCTGTCTTGTCATCACCAAAAGTAACCCGACTTGAATTATTGCAGTTTTTATTTTCTACATCTGCGATGCAATTGTGTTTACGAGGAATTAAGGCAGCTAATGGGGCCTTTGGTCAATTTGTTTTGTAGTTGTTCCTCGTCGACACTCGGGGCCAATGCTGTTTCAAATGAGGCAAGTTTTGTCCACTCAAAACGAGTGTACGTGTTTTGTGTTCGTAAAGTGGCATTCAATTCGTTTTAGCCTCATCTCTTCCTCCTTTCCTCCCTCTCCCATGCGTTCCAGCCGTTTTTCTCAGTACCCGCTAATGTTTCATCGTTTTCATTGACTGAAATGCCTTGAATGTGTAGACCGCGAAAGAAATTGTGATCGGCCTATTTATCAAACGCACCATAACTTACCATACCTCCGCTTCTCGAAGCCATCGACTTCTCTTCTTTCGTAAGGTCGTATGATGCAATTTGTCATTTTGTATAGCCGTGAAAATGCATAAATACACTTCTTTATTCCCTATTTTACTTTTTTTATCATAGTTATTACTGTTGCACACCTCTAGCCATCGGTTTTGTCAAGCTGGAGTTCAGGTTTCCTCCGTGTTTTTGTAAAATAAAAATCAACGCTTACTTATTAATTGGATGCACTTAGTGGGATGCGCTGAAAGTTGGATAGGTGACGTGTGTCTTGGTGGCATCTGAGACACCAGCATTGGAGCACAAGGTCGTGCAAATTCCAGACTTGGCATTTCCCTATTTCATTCTGTCTGTGCGGGGTGGGATGTCTGTAATACTCCAACTTTACTCATTCGCTACAAGCCAATCATTCTACAAATTATTGCACCGAGGTTCTGAAAGACCAGGCCCTGTTAGCTTAGTGGTGCTCTGGTTGCTTTCCCTGTCCCTACTGTTGGACTAACCGTCTCCCAATTTGTTTTTCTCAATGCTTGAACAAAAAACTCCCAATTTCCACATTCCACTCAACTTGAAGGGAATGCTTGATCTCCCTGCAATAGTCAAAGGCGGGAAGCCGCGGAAGGACCAACTTCGAGGATTCATGTGTGTCTGAAAGTGTCCTCCTCACCCTTTCTACACATGTCTTTGCTCTGTGCTTAAAGGATTTGATGCCTTCCATGGTGATTGAATGCTCATGAGATAGGCTGGGCCAGGAATCGGCACAATCCAGATCGTCATCAAGAAACCGCGCGTTGTCACACGATGTCGCTATGTCCATGCACATTACCACCGCCGCTTGGTGTCTTGATCAAAGGCCTCTAGGCCACTCCTTGGTATCTGCACCTGCGAGGTTCAAATTTTGCCATTTTAAGGTTAGGAAGGTCAAGATTCTAGCATGTATTACATGTGGACGGTAAGATACGAGTTCGATGAATGGACAAGGGTATAGTAAGATTTGTTCAAAAAGCAACAATCAACACTCATCCTCCGAGCCTGAGGTGTCCGAATCACTGTCACAAAAGTCCTCATACTCTTCTTCTTCTTCTTTCTCAATGAAGCCTTCCTCTGTAGTCATGGTGTTGCAAATCTTCTCAAATTGTCGAACATCCTTTCCGCTAAAAATCCCTTCCTCCATACATCCCTCGGGCTTATTGTGATACTCAAGCCAATAAGAAAATCGCTCAGGAGAACAAGTCAGCAGCTGTCCAACAATGTAGTCTCGAGATTCTAAAGTCGAAATTGTTGACAAGCTTTCTGATCAGAGATGGAGGGGAGAGAGAGAGAGAGGAGACGAGAGTGTTCAAGCACCACTCAAACAACAAGCAGGCATGTCCTTGTCATTCCAGTTGTTGGACTTCCAACAGACGAATGACATCCACTGAACAATTTTAGTTGTACACACCCACGCTCAGATTGAGCACAATCTCGTTAGAACGCTGTGATGGATGGAACGATGAGTGGGCCAAGCTTGAAGGCAAGTACAGCAACACAAAACTCCTCCCACTGCCTTATTTCCTTCAACTTCCACATCCAAGTGATACACAGCGGCTGTTTTAAAGGTAAAATTTGATTTGCAGACCCAGCAATCAGGAGTCACCTCACCTCTGTCGTCTTTTGGAGTTAGTAGTAGAAAGTTTGATTGCCAATAAGTCACTCCTGTGTGATACAAACAATTACGCGTTGGAACCGGTCACTG